GGGTTCCATCTTGTGATGTGAGCCTTAAGTCAAATCAGACATTGTTTGGTTACTCCCCCAAGGTTTGTGCCATCAGTGTTCTAACATACTGTGTAGGCAGGACAGATTGTAAACCAAAGGTTTTGTAGCTGGTTTGGTGTTCATGTTTCTCTTTTGTTAGCCTGTAGAATACCTTCCCATGCCAAAAACCTGAGAAGATGAGGCAGATGTTTATTGTAAGCACTAGTTGGACAACTCCTTTTTAATGAGTTTTCCAGGTGTTGTCTTTAACAAGGAATGGCCAAGATCAAAACACTGATGACAACTTATGCTGGAGAGGTTGTGGGGTAAAGGGAACATTTCTGCATTGCTAGGGGGAATGCAAGTTGGTACAACCTCTTTGGATGTCAGTGTGGTGATTTCTCAGAAAACTAGGAAACAACCTTCTTCAAGACGCAGTAATACCACTTTTGGGTATATATCCAAAGGATGCTCAATCGTGCTACAAGGACATGTGCTACTGTGTTCAGAGCAGCATTGTTTCTCATAGCCAGAACCTGGAAACAACCTAAATGCCCCTCGACCAAAGAGTGCATAAGAAAAATGCGGTACATTTACACAATGGAGTACTACACAGCAGAAAAAAACAACGACATTTTGAATTTTGCAGACAAATGGATGGGGCTAGAAAACATAATTTTGAGTGAGGTAACCCATACACAGAAAGACAATTATCACATGTACTCATTCATAAGTGTTTTTTAGACACAAAGCAAAGAAAACCAGCCCACAATCCCAGAGAACTTAGGCAACAATGAGGACACTAAGAGAGACTTACATAGATCTAATCTGCATGAGAAGTAGAAAGTAGAAAAAGACAAGATTTTCTGAGTAAATTGGGAGCTTGGAGACCTTGGGAGATGGTTGAAGGAGGAGGGGAGAGGCAGGGAGGGGAGCAGAGAAAAATGTAGAGCTCAATAAAAATCAATAAAAAAAATAGGACCTTGCTGCCCATTTATGGAGAGAGACCTATTGTCTTGGCAACCACCTGGTTTGTTTTGGGATTTAAATGGGGTCCCATTATTCACCAACAACAATTGGATATAACTCAGTTAGTCCTGGTACTGGAAAATTTGTTTGGTGACAAGAGATGTCCTGTTGGGACTCCATGTTGCTTATTATTCAGAGACTTTATTAGGATAACCTTCATCTACTTTAGGAAGTTTCAACTACACTAGTTTTCTATACCATCCCCCAAATGTTCCTCTATTCTGGCTGTCTCTCCTAGAATTCCCTCCCTCAATTCCATTATTTCTTCCTCTCCTCATCAGATCCTTCTGGTTCCATTCCTCCACCCTGTCCACATCCACCCACAAATCTATTCTATTTCTTACTTCCCTGGATATCCATGTGTTATTCCAGTTCCCTTTTCTATATCTGACTTCTCTCAAACTATAGATGGCAGCTTGTCTGTCATTTATTTAACAGCTAATATCCACATATAAGTGAATACATACCATATATATATATCTTTCTGGGTCTGTATTACCTCATTCAGGATGTTTTTTTTTCCTAGTTCCACATATTTGCCTACAAGCTTTACATAATTGTTTTAATAGTTGAGTAATTCATTACATAAATATACCACATTTTCTTTATCCATTCTTCTGTTGATGGACACCTAACTTGTTTTCAGTTTATAGATATCATTAACAAATCAGTGATGAACATGGTTGAACAAGTGTCCTTGTGGAAGGACAGAGTGTCCTTTGGGTGTCCAAGAGTAGTATAGCTGGATCTTAAGGTGGATTGATTCTTGTCTTCTTGAGGAACCACCACCTTGATTTTCATAGTGGCTATACAAATTTGCACTACCACTAGAAATGGCTGAATGTTTCCCTTATTCCACACAGGACTTTACAGTCTTAACTTAACCAACATTTATAGTTGAAAGAGTAGAAGGGACAGACAAGAGTATTAATTTTTATCCTAGAAAAAAAACTAAGTTGTTTCTAGATTTAAGTTTAATATAAGTTTGCCCCTTTTGTCAAATAAATTTTGAGGATTCTCCCCCTTCAAAACCAGTGTTTTAGAGCCAGAAAAACAGGTAGGCCATCTTCCAGTGGAACTCTGATTCCCTCGGCTGAGCTCCCAAAGACCTAATCCACTGCCACCTTTTACTTCCCTCTCCCACTGCAGGATCCCCATCCCCTTTATGAGTGAACTTCTACTACTCAAGTGAAGGCCACATCAGCCAAAAGAATAGGTGGGCAAACTCAGGCAGAGACGCATTGCTGGACCAGAAGTCACTCAGACACCAGAACTGTAGATGGGCTGCCTGCCTATGGATCTCCTCCACTATCCCAGTGTGCCCCTTCCACAGACACGATTCCAAATCCCCCATTTCCTCCTCATCACAGAGTCCCAGGCACCAACTTGGATAGAGACACACTTCTCAACCAAAGACCATGGAGCTTCCAGGAGTCTAGGCCCCAAAAGTGGGTAGGGATTCGCTGTTGCCCTAGAGGCCCTGCTGGCTGCCAGCACTCCAGGCCATGGTGACCAGAAGACCAGAGAGAAAACAGAAATCAAAGAACAAAACACCAATACAACAAAGAAAACCTCAGAAGTCAGTACCTAGATCTATAATCATCCCAAACCCAGATGTCTAGACTCCAGTGTAACAACACCACTAATAACAACCAGGATAATATGTTGTTATTATAGCCCAGCTATCCTACAATAATAAGCCCTGAATATTCCAACATAGCTGAAGCACAACAAAAACACCTTTAAACCAACTTCATGAAGACGATAGAGGTCCTTAAAAAGAATTTAATAAATCCCTTAAAGAAATCAAGAAAAATTGAAGATAAAAATTTGAAAGAAATGAATAAATCCCTTAAAGAGAGCCCCCCAAAAGACAAATGATTAAAAGAAACAAATAAAACTGTTTACGACCTAAACATGAAACAGAAGCAATAGAGAGAACACAGACTGAGGGAATTCAAAGGAAACTGGTTTGATCTTCCATATCACTGCAATTATAATGGCTATCATCAAAGTAACAAGTGAGGAGCAATGTACAAGGAATACTGGTGAAGATGTAGGGAAAGGGGAACCTGTATTCACTGTCTGTAGGACGACAATCTGTGCACCACTGGGAGAATATGAATAGAGTTGCCTTATGATCCAGCTCTGCCACTCTTAGGTACTTGAGTCAACATACCCCGGAAATGCTGGCTCATGCATGTTTACAGCTGCTCAGCTCACAATACCGAGAAAATGGAACCAGCCTAGATGTCTATCATCAGATGAATGCATAAAGAAAATGTATTTCCCACACACAGTGAAATTTTATGTAGCCATAAAGAAAAATGATATCATAGCATTTACAGGGAAATGGATGCAACTAGAAAACCCTATGTAAGCCATGTAAATCAGACTCAGAAAGACAAATACCACGTTCTCCATGACATGTAGCACCGAGGTCTAAAATTCCATGTGTGTTTCTATATGCATGCATTTGTATCCTGGTGTTGGAAGGTAAGAAAACAAGAAAGGGAGTCTTGAGAATTAAGGAAAATATCTTCAGAGAAGTGGTAAATAGAAAAGAACCTGGATACTTGTAATTATGAAGCAGAAGAGGTAGTAACTGGGGGAAGAAATAGAACGAGCTGGAGGAGTAAGAGAGGACAATGAAGCCATTGGGGGACGTACACTAATGACACCATAACAAAACATGATGAAACCCAGTACTCTGTCTGCTAACCTAAAAATGAGGTTTTCTTTTCTCTTTTCTTTTCTTTTCTTTTCTTCTTTTCTTTTCTTTTCAGACCGTACTAGCAGGTTTATCTGTTTGCATAGCTAATCCTTTTCACGTTTCCTTGTATTTATATCTATATTTGTGTATGGAACAGGTCTCTTTACCTTCAATGCCTTTGAAAAGCAAATGTTGGGCTTTGTCTACTTAGTTTAAGATGGTAATAACCAGCATGGGTCTAAGTGACAATAACTGCTTCTAAGAAAACACCTAGCTAGCATGCATTATTCTCCCTCACCCTCATAATCAACTCGACTCACTTAAACAGCTTAAGGCTTAGAAATTATTTTCAAAGACTTAACATAGCTGGTCATAATAAAGAAAAAAAATCAATTATAAGATAATCTGTTTCCACATACTAATGCCTTTATTTTAAGCCCTTAACAGCTTTTATACTGAATATAAAACTGAAAGAGAACGTTAATTCACAGATTTTCAATGTTTATTAAACTCAATTGTAATATTACCTTTTATAAAACTTTCATCTTTTATATTTTTATGATTACAGGTGTTTTGCCTGTGTTATCTGTGTACCACACAGTGCCTGGTTCCCATGGAAGCCAGAAGAATATATGAAATCCCAGAATTATGATACCTCTGGGAGTGGATTTATGTTTGGCTGTGAGCCACCATAAGGATGCTGGGAATCAAACCTGGGTCTTCTGGAAGAGGAATCAGTACTCATAGCCACTGAGCCATCTCTCCAGTCCCAAGGCATCTTTCTTAAGAGCTCCTTCATTGAAAAGTTCAATTTCTCAAGCTATTCTTCATTTTAATAACCCACAAAACTGCCAACAGCAGCTTTGATTCAACAGGTGATGTACTTCACACTTCCCGCAGTTGCTCCCGGGCAGCAAATGGAATGGAAATAAAGTACGAGCTTACATGAAGGGACATAGTCTCCCACAGGAGGACACAACAATCGACCATTAAAACCCTGGATGGATGGGGGCAGGGCTTGAGAAAGGATCTGGGAGGTCAGACTTCATCCTCAGCTCTTTAGCTTCAGGCACTGTCTGTGCCGCCACCAGCACCCCTCCTACACACCCGCTGGTCAGCACGGACCTGCATAACTGCCCTCTCCTGCACGCAGTTGGCTTAGAGGAAGACAGCTTAAAGAACTGCGGCAGTCCTCACATACGTGACCCCCAGGACCAGCAACAGACACCAGCCTCAGCTGGCAGAACTAGCCTACTAAATGTCCTCCAACTTTTGGATGCGTCAGTTAGCTTTCCTCTGTGGATCAGTCGTCGGATATCTTTTTTGTGCTCAGTTCTTTACCATTTTGTTAGAAGAACACAGTGGCATTGACCCTATGGCTCCTAATTATTCCACTAAGACTCATTTAGATGGTACCAGAGAGAATGGTCGGAAAGGATCGGTGATGTCGAAAGTGTATACTGGCTATGAGGACACAGACATGGCTGCAAAACTCTACCAGAAGGTGAAGATTCTTTGCTGGATAATGACGGGACCACAAAATCTGCAGGTAAGAGCCAAGCACATTAGAGCCACATGGGCCCAGCGTTGTAACAAAGCACTGTTTATGAGCTCGGAAGACAACGCAGACTTCCCTGCTGTGGGATTAAAAACTGAAGAAGGCAGAAATCATTTGTCCCAGAAAACATTAAAGGCCTTTTTGTATGTTCATGACCACCACCTAGAAGATGCAGATTGGTTCATGAAAGCAGATGATGATACATATGTTATAGTAGACAACCTGAGATGGCTTCTGGCAAATCAGGACCCAGAGCAACCTGTATACTTTGGGAGAAGATTTAAGCCCTATGTAGATGAGGGCTACATGAGTGGTGGGGCAGGCTATGTGCTGAGCAAGGAGGCCTTGAGGAGAGTGGTGCGTATGATAAAGAGGAATGGATGTGAACCTTTTACTGCCTTTGAAGACATCATTCTGGGACAGTGCTTACAAACAGTCAACGTGAAGCCAGGCGATTCCAGAGACCCCACTGGGAAAGAAACTTTCCATCCCTTTTTGCCAGAAAATCACTTAATTCCAGGTTTTCACTCCAAATCTTTTTGGTACTACAAATATAATTATTACCCTCCCATATATGGGCCCAACTGCTGTTCTGATTTTGCAGTTTCTTTTCACTATGCAAATGCTATAGCCATATATGAGTTGGAATACCTAGTTTATCATCTCCGGCCATATGGTTATGCATACAGATATCAGCCCACCTTACCTGCAAATCGACCAGAGAAAAGAAACAAAGCAAAGCAAAATGAAGATGTAAAAGATTAACTCGGGAAGTACTTGAGATGTATGCAAGAGCTAAGGTGGAGTGACTAACCTTGCAAGACCAAAAGAACACTTGGCAGGGCAAGCCTTGCTGGGTGAATAAGTGAACATTTTATCAAATAAATAAAAAAAAGCAACAACAAAGTTCCTGAATATGATCCAAGGTTAAAGCAGAAGATGCATTCTGTGTTACAGCACCTTGCTTATACATATATAACTGATACTGTTTTTAAAAGAATAGTCAGATAGATGAGCGATTTTGTATCCGTTTCTGACCATACTCATCATACAAACTCTACTGGACCAGGAAAATGAACTGCTCATGATAATATACGAGCCTGACTGAACACTAAAAGCAGTTTTAGCATCGTCTTTTATACTCTACTCATAAATTAGAGTTCTGTACAACATAAACTAAAATCCCCCTGACACACAATTGTCTAATGACAATTTCTTGCCCATAATGTATGAGAGGCAGAATTTCTTCCAGAATTAGGATGCAATCTGTACTAAAAGTCACCAATAAAGTCACACCATGCTTCTATTATAGGTCTTCTTGAATCTAATTCATGTTTAGTTTCTATCATGGTGAGCTATATTCATGGTGGTCTCTTTCTAAGAAAAGCATCTCTTGAAGGCCACTCTCTGCCATCCATACTTATTCAGTGCTTGATAGTTTTTCTAGTACCATATATTCAAAAATGTTTTTCTCTCAAAGCTGTCCATTGTTGGCTATGAATAACCAATAAGAAAATTCAATGCTGTTTCTTAGGTTAGTAATATTCAATACTTTCCTTACATGAATGCTATTTTCAGTTTCCTCAGGGTTATTTTGCTTGATCACTTGTTTGTTGTGAAATTATGATAACAAGATTAGAAAAACTATGAGTATAATCAGATTTCCACTTTTGTCATTTAGGCAGGTGAGAACTTACTTGTGTCTTTCTTGACTTTCTTAAATTAATTTAAAATCTTTCCTTTTTAGTATCAACAGAAGTCACTAGTTAAAACAGCAAAATCATTTGGATGCAGGATTTTGACAAGAATACATACAATCACGATATTACTAGAAGGAAATTTACCCTCAAGCTAAACAGTGCTTTATGACACAGTACATGTTGAAGTGTGTTCACCTTATAATGTGTATTATTATTGCAAAATTTTGAAGAGTCTTGTGACATGGTTACTTATTGGTCAATAAAATAGTTCTTTGGTTGTTTCAAAGCAACAAATTTAAAATAAGGTATAAATAAATAAGGTATAAATATGGGTTAAAATACTTACCATGATAAAATATTTCTAAGTGCTATATAATACACACTCATAGACACTTTGGTCAAATGTAGACATAAATATGTGAGGTGTGTCCAAACTCTGAGCAGGAGTGATAGACTCTGGTCAGCAGTGTAGATGACTGCTGTGGTTCATCCATATGCAGTGAAACCGTTTTCAAGGCTGTTTTTGATCTCTATTTCAGGAAAAATACAATTGTAAAACATAGTACAATCAATCCAAATACATACTAACAATTTCACCCACATCTATATGGTAATATTTCTTGCAAGTATCCCATGACAGAATCGAGCTAAAGCTTCACTTTCTTAAATCTCATTATATCGTCTGCCCATACAAGAATGTAAGGAACACCGTTGAAAGAAATGGCAAAGGCAAGATAGTATTCATCATTTTTTTCCTCAAATTCTTGGAAAAGAAAATTGGATGTTCTGAACCTGACACAATGTTCAGACAGAAACATGTATTAAGTGTATTGATACATCAGATACATTTTAAAGCCAATTATGGGAGCCGGTTCTGAGGCAGGCAGTCATGAGAATGATACAGGGGTCAATCCCAAATGAAATGGAAAGGACAATAAAAAGGCTTTTTTGTCAAATGCTGTCTTATGATGGGAAAAGTGGTACTGGAGACTGAGGAAAAGACTCGGTCTGTCCTGGAAGAAAGATCAGGGAGGGGTCTTGGAGGAAGTGATGTCCAGAAAGCAGTATAAATAGTAAACCAAGGGGGAGATTAGTTCAAACAGAGGAAACTGAAGACTCAAGGGACAATGAGAAAATAAGTCCCATCATTCAAGCAAGATATCAATGGAGTTAGAGTCCAAGACCCCTTGACTGAGGTTAAGCAAGAAATGAATCTGAAATTTTAGGTATAACGGATGACATAATTGTACATTCCATGACCCTGAATGTTTCCTTAAATATTTTCAAACATTTGAGACTGTTATTTCAAAAGCACTATCCTGAACAGAAGGCCTGAGAAGTGCAGAGGATATGGATTGAGGGGTTGTGGCAGTGAGAAGGAAAACAATTGATGAGGCCAGTGTGCAGTTGTGAAGCATGAGAAGGGATGCCGAGAGACAAATGTGAGAGAGGGAGGAGGAGAGTTTTCAGTTTTCAGGTTCCTGGCATAGGTGACTGGAGCATGTTGACTGTCTTAGTTAAGGCTTCTATTTCTTTGATGAAATACCATGACCAAAACTATTCTGGGGAGGAAAGGGCTTATTTTTACACTTGCAAGGAAATGTCCAGAGAGAAGTCAAATCAGGAACCTGGAGTCAGGAGCTTATGCAGAGGCTATGGAAGAATGCTGCTTACTGGCTTGTCTCTTACAGATTGCTCAGTCTGCTTTCTTATAGCACCTAAGACCACCAGCCCAGTCATGGCATCACCCACAATTGGCTGGATCCTACTTCATCAATCACTAATTAAGAAAATGCCTTACCTGCTTGCCTTCAGGCCAATCTTAGGGAAATATTTTCTCAATTGATATTCCTTCCTCTCAGATGACTCTACTTTATGTCAAGTTGACTTGCAGCTAGCTAGTAGAGCAGGGGTAGTTACTAAGAAAGGAAGTGGAAAGGATCTGATCTGTGCATGCATTTGGGACATGTTGAGTCAGACATACCTGTGATGTCTTCCAGTACTGAGCATAGTAAAATCAGGAATTGTGTATCTAGATCTAGAAGCAGGGAAGCTGGAGCCAGAATTTTAAGCATAACCAGATTACAATGGACATTTGAAATGCAGGCAGTGGATAATGGTTGTAAGGGGAATGTGTGCTTTGAGAAGAAAGATGACCTAAGAAGAAACCTAAGGGAAACCAAAGACGTATGATGAGCAGAAAAAGATGGTCCTTGTGTCTTAGCCATCTTTCTTTCTGCCCTTTTTCTTTTTTTATTGAAAATACTTTTTCTATATAATCTATTCTGTTGTTTCTCCTCCCTCATCTCCTCCAAAAATCTCCCCATATCCCCATCCATCAAAATCCATGCTGTCTTTATCTTTAGAAAACAAACACCAATCCAGTCACTAAACCTTGGACCCACACCTGTCCTGCCTGCAAGATGTGCTGTGGCAATTGTGACCTATAGCTTGTAGGCATGGTCAGTTAATGACTGGTCTAAGTTGAGGCCCAAGCTACAAGAGGGAGCCCATGTCGTATACTACCTGGATGGCCAGGAATGGGAGCTAGAGGGCTCAGACACCTGGAGTAGAACCAAAGACAATTGGCAAAAACCAAACAACCAACCAAACAAAAAACAAAGTCAATGTAATGATTCCTAAGGATATTCTACTATATTTATAAACCTATGTCTAGCCCAATCATCATCAGAGAGGCTTTCTCTGGTGGCTAATAGGAAAAGATACAGAGAGCCATAGCCAAACATTATGGGACAGACACAGAACCTGCATGGGAATGTGTTAGGTCCTTTGCATACGTACATGCTTTGGTTGCTTAGCTTATTTTTTTTTTCTTGTTTTGTTGGAACTTCTATCAGTGAGAATGGGTATATCTCTGATTCTTTTGCCTGCTTTTGGGACCCTTTTCCTTCTACTGTGCTGCCTTGTCCATTCTTGATATGAGGGTTTGTGCTAAGTTTTAGTGCATCTAGTTGTGCCATGCTTTGTTGGTATCACTGGGAAGCCTGCTCTTTTCTAAAAGTAAACAAAAGAGGAATGGAATTTAGGGTGATGGGAGGGGTGTTTGGGAGGACTTGGAGGAATAGTAGGAGGGGACGCTGGGAGAAGTAGAGGGAGGGGAGGCTGTGGGAGGGATATGCTGTATGAGAGAACAATAAATAAAAAGAGAACAAACAGCTAAATAAGAATAGGAATAAGGCAAAGCAACACAATACATACACACACATGCACACACATACAAACACACTTACATACATATGCACACATGCACACACATACACACAAAAAAGCAGAGAAAAAGAAAACAAAAGCTCCAGAAACATGTACATAGAGACATGTGCACAACAGACACGTGCAAAACCTGTAAGATTACAAAATGAGAAGCCAGAGCATATAAGCAAAAAGCCAGTAAAGGAAAACAAACAAACAAAGCATTATGAGGTTAAAAATACTAAAGAAATACCACTGAGTTTATTTTGTCTTGACCATCTACTTCTGAGTGTTGAGTCTACCCTAAATGTGGCTTGTATATCCAGAGAGACTCCACTGGAGAATATAGTTTTTTTTCGTTTGCAGGGGGATGACACTTGGAAATAGCTTCTTGGTTAGGGATGGGGCTCCCATCTGGTTCCCCTCTGGAACCTCACCTGGCTCTGACATGCGTAGGCCGTGTGCATGCTGCCACAACCTCTGTTATTCCCCACTTACAGCAGCCCTGTTGTCTTTGGAAGGCCTTGTTTCTCTGGTGTCTTCCTTTCACACTGGCTCTTGCCCATCATCCTGTCAATCCCTGAGGAAAGGGATTTGATGAAGACATCCCTTTTAGGACTGGTTGCTCCAAGGAATCTCACTCTCAGAACATGGTCCAGTTGGAGGGGGGAGTCTCTGTATTAGTTCTTACCTTCTGTATGAGACAGCTTCTCAGATGATATTTAAACAATTTACAGATCTATGGATATAGCAGAATTAGGAATCATCATGTTTCTGTGTTTCTTTAGTACAGTGGTTCTCAACTTTCCTAATACTGAGACCTGTTAGTACAGCTCCTCATGTTGTAGTGACACTCAACCATAAAATTAACTCGACTTCTACTTCATAACTGGATTTTTTGCT